AAACTGAAATGCTCCGAAATTTTAATGAAGCTATGTATATATATATATATATATATATATATATTTATATTTATATATATCAACAAGCTTGAAAAGGAACTGAAAGCGCAACAGAAAACGCGTGAAATTTTAGAATGAAAATGTGATCATAAATCTTGAGTAGCTGACTGATGCTTTTTGATATAAATGGTCAACGCAACGCAGACAAATTGGACGGTGACCAGTCAGTTGTTGGTACCCCTGACTACTTGGCACCTGAATTCTTCTTGGAACAGAACATGGTTAGGCAGCTACGAAATTTGTTGTTTCATGGTTGGCATTGTTCTCTTTTATGTCTCCTATCAATTTCAAAAACTCGAAATACTGGAAACATTTTTTCATGGTTGACATTGTTGAATTGCTTACTTCTTGGTACTTCTGTAGGTTTTGCTGCAGATTGGTGGTCAGTAGAATCATCTTGTTTGATTGTAAGTGGAATCCCTCCTTTCAATGTTGATCATCCAGAGGTAGTTACTCAAGATCCTATGTTTACTTCAATATTGTTTTGCTGCTATTGCATGTCTATCTCATGTAGTAATGAGATGTGGCCAAATGAGTAATGATATGTGTTTAGTGTTTAATCAATGATGCTTAACACATGCTTGAAAATGAGTGGCAGAGAATAGCAATAATATGAGAAAGGATCTTCAGACATTGTCAATTGAACAAGCATAATATATGTGAACAACTGCAGACGTCAAAATATGAGATGCAACAAGTGATGACAAATTTTCAGTGTATTTTTACACCGAATTTAAGAAACAACGGCAAGGTACTTAAATTTGTCTCTTGCTATAGCAGCCAATCGATAAGGCCTTCAATATGTAGATATTATTTCTTTGTTTTCTACATTATGAAATGCCATTGTAACTGAGTGAGTTTTTGGTCATTTCTTGGGGGTAAGATTCTGATAAATTACCTATCAAGTTACATTGTTGTGATTTTTGTACGAGGGTAAATCTTCTTTGACCTAATAATGTTAATAAAACTGGTTTAAGAAGAGTGGTTTATCTAATGATGAAGGATCTTTCCTTTTCTGCAGATGAGGTTACTCAAGCCTGAACCCTATGGCCAAGGAGTTCGTGCCGCCGTCCCTTTCCTTCCTTGGCGGCGGCTGCCCGAGATTTCTGGTGGTACCGCCCCCTGTCATGGCGGCAGGTCGTTTTTAGTTCACCGCAAATGGTTTTCTGTTGCAGTAGCCCGTGGGCCCTGAAGCTCAACATTGAAATTCCTATTGAAAGGTTTGGTGTTAATTTTATATTGTTAATTAATATAATGTACTATTCAATATTGGGTGTCGCTTTTAAAAGTTGATGTTTTTATGATTTGTTAAATACAATCCCTGCTTTGGTTTTGTAATGGCTTGTGTTGTAATCATTCAGATTTATTAAGGTCGACTCTTAGGACTAAAGTTGTCTTTTCTGTTTTCAAGCAACTCTAAGTCATATTTGATATAGCTTCTTTCAGTATCCTTTTCTATAATGGTTTTTTAGGTGCCTATTTAGTCATGTTTCATGATCTTTCAATGTTGCAGAAGAAAAATTGCTATGTTCACGGAAGAATGAGGCTGAATACTCGAACGAGCAAGGCTCAGAGGGAGGACGTGATGTCTATGTCTATGACATTGATCATTAGTTTATGTGACTTTAGCTTTCAATATTCCTTCTAAACTTGGACATGTGGTACTCTTTCTTTACCTTTGGCAATTTTCTTACAGATAACAAGATAACAAGTTGCCTGGAAGTATACCTACTTCTCTGTCATCTCTAAGTCAGTTAGAAGGCATGTAAGTTCACTTACACAGAGCACTTTGGGTGGTACATAGGTTTGGGTTGTTTTGTTGTTATTTGTTTGTTATCTCAACAATTGACTATAAACTTCAGGTTTCTTAGCAACAACGAGTTAAACTGGAGATATTCTGATGCTTTTGAGTCCCTCCCAGATTTCATTAACTTGTATTAGTCTGATGCTTAAGCATGTTTAGTTGCAACAACTGCATATAATTTACTAACTTCTAGGGTCATATGGTCTTTGCAGAGACTTGTCCAATAACAGTTTGAGCGGACAGTTGACACCTTCTACCAGAAACTTGTCATCTCTTGCTACTCTGTGAGTGCATTACTCCCCTCCTTTAGTTAATATGTGTTTTTTTTATTATAAATATAATGGCAACTTATGTTTACGTGTAGAATCACTAGCGATCTGGAACTCTCGATGTGTTACAAGATCTTCCTCTTAAAGATCGGTACAATTCGTGGACTTAAGATGTCCTGATTTATATCCCATGCTTTGTCAGGTACTGTATTTACTTGACTTTCTTTTCCATCTCCCGGGGATGTACAGAACAACCTATTTTCTAGACTAATACTACCAAAGTTGTTGAGCATACCCAACTTCAGGCATGATGAAGTGAGTGCTCAATTTATTTTTTATGGTTTAATCATTTTTTTCGTTGTCGAGCTTTTTTTCTCCCAGTATGAACTTGATGATATTTACTATAGCTAATATGTGCATGATGGATGTAACATTGTTCTTAGCAGTTAGCTCATTTTTCATTTTTGGCAAAATATATCCAGGCCAGTCTTAATAATTCGTTGTCAGGTGGTATCATCTTACATGAAGGTTGCAGAAATTATGATAGTTATTGTTAGATTCCGGTCCACATTAATAAAAATGAGACTTGAGTGCTAACCCATGTGCGAGTATTTGCACCTCAGTGTACAAATTATAATGTACAAGTAGAATTATCCAAGCTTTCCAAGAGTGCAAAAGAATCTCAGCAAAAATTAGGAATTTTGGGGAAATGATTTAGTGCAACATAAATGGAAAAATATTTGAGATTTAGAAAATGATAGTATTTGCTTATAGAAACTAACACCTGGAATAAATTTGAAGCGTGTGCTTGATTAATAAGTTGAAGTACTTTATTGGTGTTTAAAAGGCAAATCAAGAATAGAATTAGACACCAAAATGCAACTGGAATCCTTTGAACTCGAGCATTGTCCCATTACCATCACCACTGGGAACACAATCGCCCGCTTTGCCCTTTTTTACTGTACATGATGGATACATCCGTCGCTTCGTTGAATAATAGATGTAAATTTCGAGTAGAATTAGATAAAAGTAATTGCCTATTGATGTTTTTTGTATAGGATGGGCCATGAAAAGGGCCAGCCCGTAACGATCGACCTGTTTTTTAGGAGACACAAGAGCTTCGACATGGGGCCCATGACCTTCGCAAGGGATGCCACGAGCTTGATGCCCTGCTTTAATTGGTAAATGTTTTTTTGGTCTTTTTTCGGGTTCCATTGATGGTTTAACCGTGTTTTATGCAGAGTGATCATGTTGTGGACATAATTTTGGTGATAAAATTTGTGTAGTAGGACGTGGTTTTCTTTAAGTTGTGTTGCTTCTTTATACCAACAGTTTTTCTATTGTTCCGGTCCACATTATTATCAAATTGTATGAATATATTAATTTGTTCGGATTACAATTGGGGCAGCCTGATTTTGTGAACAAAAATTATATTTAAACTCTGTTCATAGTAGTTGATATGTGAGTATTTTCGAGGTATTTTTAGACCGAATTTGAGTTCCCGTGCGTGCACGGCGTAACCCATCTAGTAGTATATATATTCAGAAACTATTTGGGGGTTCAACTCTCTCATTTTTCATGCTTACGGATATGGAGGATTTATATTCTCCTTAGAGAGTTTCCATTCCATATGCCATTTTGTTGTCTAGATCCTATTATTCTTATTTTCCGAAGATCAGATTTTTTTCTTTGAAGATTTTACTATGTTTTTCACCATTTTCTACTGTAAGCTGATTTCTTCCTCTTGAATTCCACCTTTCCTCATGGCAGCTCAGTTGTTTCAGGAATATATGAAAATGATGATGCAATTCTAACATCCAGAGACACTACATTGTCCATGAATTATTCACGCTCTCTCTCTCGAAGGACCAGGTTTCTGAAAGGAGACAATAATTTTGGAACTCATGGTAATGGAGATGTATTGTACAGACCTGGATCAGTTGATGGAGGGTGAGGCAGAGTTTTATTTTCCCATGCATTCTTTGCGTAGTAGATTCTTTTTTAATTTTGTTCCTATTTCGGAGATTTCTTTTGGAATATTTTTATTGTCTGCTACGTTTAATAAATTAACTTTTGTTTTCATGTCTCGCTAAAACTATTGGCATGAGCCTTCCTCTTCTCTTTAAGGTTCAGAAGCTTCATGTTTTGTAAATACATTATCTTGAAATGCCAGTGGTTCATTTAAATGATTCAGCAGCTGCTATAGTCCTTCGGAAAACAACTTGACCATTTTTCCGAGTTGTTTTCTGATTTCAATTTGTTGTGGCTGCTTTAATCTTCTTTTTCATCTGCATATCCCCACCTCAGATGTGCCCAACACCCATAAAGAAATGATAAATAATATTAAATGTTGCATTCATAAAGTGCTTGTGCAACAGTAAGATATATCAGAATCTCTTTGATGTCGGTTGTTCCCATGTCTGCGTCTCACTTAATCATTCGATGATCTCAGTGAGGATGGGACAATGGAAACACATGATGATGCTACATCCAATGGATATACTCCTTCCATGAGGACAAATGGTGGTTATAATAGTGGGAAGGATGCAAAAGTTGTTTCTCGTCAAATTCCCATGTGGTTATCAGATTCCACTCCTGACGAATTTGTTGTATGATGCTATACTTACATTAAAATAGTTGGGTTAGAATTGGCCTATCATTCCAAATGAGCTTAATTGCCTATATGATTTCAATGCAGGATGCAATAAGAAAGAGTGATGCTTCTTTACATGTAAAGTATTTACAGACTATGGTTGAATGCCTCTGTATGCTTGGGAAAGTTGCTGCTGCAGGTGCTATAATATGGTATGTTCTCAATTTTTTTTTTTAAATAATGGAATTAGCTGATATGCTAATTTAGCCTAGTTATAGTCTAAGTAGCCCAGCATCACTTGCTTGAATGTCATTTGGGGTACAAAAATAGGTTCAAAATAACATATTGTGAAATGAAATTGGAGAATGGTTCAAAAGCGTTAACAAATTGAGCTCATTTTCTGTCTAATTTTATTCAGAAAATTGAATAATGAAGAAAAAGGTTATGGAATCGGAAGTTTGTGAACCATAGACACTGGAATTGTCTACTCATTATATAATTGAGCTCATTTTCTGTCTAATTTTATTCAGAAAATTGAATAATGAAGAAAAAGGTTATGGAATCGGAAGTTTGTGAACCATAGACACTGGAATTGTCTACTCATTATATAATTGTTTGCTTATTTTTTTCTGAGCAACATTTGTTTGTTAAATATGAGTAAAAGAATCATGAAATATACCAGAAACAAGATACTTGATATTCTTGTTTATCGCACACTTCTATCTTAGAGCGA